CATGAATAAATAAATAAAACATTAAAAAATATATATATATATGAAACACTCATTGCCACAGGACTCAGTTATCCCACTGCTAGGAATTTGACCAAAGTAAAATGAAACATGTTCACACAACAACGTGTACACAAATGTTTCTAGCAGCTTTATTCATTATTACCAAAAACTGGAAATAATCCAAATGTCCTTCAACTGGTGAGTGGATAAACAAACTGTAGTACTTCCAGATGCTGGAATACACTCAGCAATAAAGACCAGTGAGCTACTGACACATGCAACAAAATGGATGAATGTCAGTGCATTACAGCAAATGAAAGCAGCCAGATTCAGAAGGCTTCATGCTGTATGATTCATCTATATGGCATTGTGGTTATGGGAACAGAACATTGATGAATGGCTGCCAGGGGCTAGGGGTGGGAGGAGGAGTTGGTTCCAAGGAGCACAAAGAAATCTTGAAGACAATGATAATATTCTATATGTTGATTGTGGTAGTAGCTACACAACTGCATGTATCTGTCACAACTCACAGAACCCTACGTGCAAAACAGGTGAATTTTACTGCGTATAAAATATCCTTTTTTTTTAAGATTTTATTTATTTGACAGAGAGAGAGAAAGCAAGCACAAGCAAGGGGGAGCACGCGGAGGGAGATGGAGAAGCAGACTCCCCGCTGAGCAGGGAGCCTGATGCCGGGCTCGATCCCAGGACCCTGCGATCATGACCTGTGCCGAAGGCAGACGCTTAACCAACTGAGCCACCCAAGCATCCCTATAAAGTATACTTTAAAAATACTTAAAAATAAGCAAGCAATGACTTAATTTTAATTTACCAACAAGACCTGTCCAACCTTCTACCTTTAGCAGAATTATGCTTAAACCAAACACACTGACAGCTTGCCTATTTAAAAATACAGAGAAGATTCTATAAGCCCAAATGATAGTATACGGTTACTCTACAGGACTTTAAGAATGGGCAACAAAAATTTGGCTAGGGAACAAATAAAAGTAACTTGCATCTGTACTCAAAAACAAAACAAAACAAACAAAAAAACACCTCACCATAAAAATAAGCTTATTTTTCAAATCTGGCTTTGAGGTGCACTATGGCATGGAAACTTGGGACTAACACTCATAAGGCAAGGAGCCAGGTGCCCAACATAGTCTGATGCATCATATCAACCAATCTGAAGAGGCAAACTACTAAAATGACTCAGGATGACTATTCTAGATTCACAATAATGAAGAAGCCAATAGGATTTTCTTAATCCCATATTGCCTTGGGTCCTGACACTGAGCAGAATTCATCAATATACACAGGGTAAGGCAAAGTCATTTCACAGGTGGAACTATAAGAGAAATAAGTTGGAATAAAACTTGGAATAAAAGAGAAAGGGTTAAGAATACAAGTTTTAGGGGCACCTGGCTGGCTCAGTAGATGGAGCATGTGACTCTTGATCTCACGGTTATGGGTTTGAGGCCCACATTGGGCATAGAGATTACTTAAAAAAAAAAAAAAAAAATTACAAATACAAGTTTTATTTCACCATACCTATTGGCACATATACATACTATTTTGTACTGAACTGAACACACTATCATCCTAGTCGTCTTCTGTCTTACTCTGTCTCACTGTGAATATAAATGGCTCTGCCTTTCCTCCTTCCCTCATCTGTTTCTGTCTTCCAGAGAAATAGATCATTTTAATCTCCCTGAAGCTACAGGGTCAGATGGAGGTAGCTGTATAATAACAGAAAATACGAGGAGTTGAATTTCCAGTCTGGGGTGTCCCTGAGGGTCCAAACTTGGACTCTGAGACCATTACAAAACTGACCTGAGTTTCTGAGTCAAGTACAGAATCATCCTCATCTCTGTGTGGACTGACATTAGTATCCACTACACCCAACACAGATACAAGCGCCAATAAAACATATTTTGAAGAAATATGCAGGCACTCATTCTAACAATTCCCAGAAAATCTCCTTTCTGAAAGCAAGCACTTGCCTCTTACAGTAGACCAATGATTTGGTAGATATAGTTTTAAGAGCCTGTATCTACACCCACAGCACCCAAGATTTTAATACTAAGAACACCAAAATAGGTGATAACAATCAACCTTGCAAAATAAATAAATAAAAACAAAAGAAATTTCAAGAAGTACCACCCCACACAGAATTATTAACCCATACATCATGACTTATAGTGTATATTCACAAAGTAAATGGGAATTCCTCTGTGAGCAAACAAATACTTTCAAGGGTTATATAATCAGAGTAATGCCTAATTTTCATTGATAACTCTGGGATACTAAGGGCATATACAATTTATTCACCCAAGTTGGGTTAGTCTGCATCAGTTTCCAAGGCTTTCATCAGAGAAGGTCTAACCTTTGAGATATTTCTTACCTCAGTCTATTTCAAGTATTATTAATAGGCCCCCTGGAGCTTATCATTGACTCAAGCACCTCGTGGCCTAAGCAAAGTCTGCCAAGAAAGAAAGGTCTCTAAGTCAAAAGCAGCATCAAGGCACCACAACCTGAAGTATAAATCATTTACTGTGACCTTGTTGGCAGAGGAGGAGAAAAATCAACCACCAATATCACCTGGGGGTTTCTTCCAACATGCCAAGATGGTAATTCACAGTTGGTCAAGAGGCCGTGGCCAAACAAAAGGGAGAAAGAAAGCAATTCTCCGGATAATTCATACTGTGCTTATATAACAGATGGATATTTTAACGAAACAATTCAGATAATTGTACCACTCTCCATTTCACAGAAGGACAATCAGTCACAAAGTAAATTGTTCAGCTACTGGCCGCTCCAGTCTCACATTCTGAATATAACCTTTTACGTACCTTAAGAGCTCTTCAGAGCATGGAGGGACATACTGTCACTCCACGGAAACTGACTTGTAAAAGAGTTCCTGAGCCAATAAAGGCCCTTGTCTTGATTAAAACAAAGAGATAGTTTCTCAACAGAAAGTTTGTTTGGCTTCAGATCTTCAAGCAGCTTAATCTTTGGCTGAATTTGTCTCATACTGAGTATACCTATTCAATTCAACTCATTGCCAGGTCCATAAACAGGGACGAATGCCTATATTGCCTATGCTGGTGTCGTTGTTGTTAAAAACCTCATAGCTGTCATCTCCTTCCTCTCCTATTTCAAGAGATTACTGAATGTGAAGAGCATATAAAGTGAGAAGTTGTACTTCACAATCTGGGATGGTAGTTAAGATAGAAGGAAAGGCACCAAGAAGGTCAGTCTCAGAAGGGATCAGAAAAGTGGTTACTTTGTATGAAAACGAGATCTACCAGAGTGACCTCAAAGCAGGTGCTTTTCTCAGGGCATTATTAAAATATACACAGCAAGGACCAGATTCAGGTAGCACAGTCACCTTAGAAGAAACAGGGCTACTGAGTTGCACTAAGAAAACTGTCCTTTGATAGACTAGTGATTCAGTAAAGAAGCACATGGACCAGAAACTGGATTCTATTTCTCTATCATCAATGAACCCAAGAAATGGTTCCTGCCAGAAACCAGATCTCAATCCCCTTAACATCTCAAATATACTTGAAAAATAAATATTCACCTTCTCAAAGAGTCCAGAAACTTAAAATAATGAATATGGCCCTCTTAGCATCTGTCTTATTTATATTCAGCTCCTTATTAGGTGAGATATAAAGCTCTGGAATTTAAGTCTGAAAAATCTATGCCTAAGGGCAACTTGTTTCTTTTCTAATCTTGCACAAGTAACAATTTTCTAAGCTTCAGATTCCTCATCTGTAAAATGGGAATTACAACACTACTTGCCACACCTACTTCAAGAATCACTGCTGAGACTCACATAGGGGAAGACAAACGTAAGAATTTTTAAACAGCAAAGGAGTATACAAATGTTGGTTGCTACCTTAGGTGGGGCACTATTATAAGCAGGAAAAAAAAAATAGATACAAATAGGATGAAAAGAAGAGAAGGTTCTTCCATGTGAAAGAGAAGGGTTACAAACACGGTGAGGAATAATTTTAGGCTACTGGCTAATACATTCAGTGAAGTGGTATGACACAAAATGGAATTATTATTTAGAAGTGGATTCTCATGCCAACACACTCACTTTGTACACACAGAAGAAGAAGAAAAATAAGAAAGATTAGGAGTGGGTGTCCAGCTCTCAGCCCACCAAAATAACTGATGAAGTTCCATTCGGGGAGGGAGGGTGGAGTTAGTTTTGACAGTATATATTGAACATTACTGCATAGGTAAGAATACTCTTGCATAAGATGAGAGAAGTAAAAGTGTTATTACTAAGCACACCACTGTTAAGTTATCCACAACCCATATACTATAGCTATATATGGGGCATATGATTTTTATAAAAAGCTTTAAGAAAAAAAAAAAAAAGACTATTCCACAAGTATCAAATAAACGTAAGTGATTCAGTAGATTGGTTCTCCATAGGAAGCTCTTAGGGAGGTAATACTCCTAAGAAGATACCCATAACAATGAGGTCAGGGGTGTTCTAGGAGCCTGTAGGAGACACAAACTGTTTATGAATCATTACAAACCAGCAAAACAGGAGGTGTGGTTTCAGAAGATTTGCTTGCCTTAACCCAATATAGGGGTTTACTCTCTGAGTGCTCTAAGATACTCTGTAATAGGGTCACACAAACAGAAAACCGAATTTTTTGAAAAGGCATCAGACAAATGACATTGACTATGCTTATACGAGTGACATGGTGTACATGCACACCAACTAGAGTGAAGATGACTAATCTATAGGGATAACACCAGGGACCAAATCATCAGTAACCATGACAACTCAAGTAGGTGGAGGGAAATACAAACACTGACCAGGCAGCGAGGTGACGCTACTCCTTCAGGTAGAGACCCTGGGGTCGGAAAAAGACTTGATTAGTGGGGGAAGCCGTGCGAGAATGAAACCGACTAGCCCCAGAGGACCAGTGTCCGTGCAGGAGGGCTCGGCGGTGACACTAACACTCCCCGTGGGCGGCCCGCAGGGGTCACAGGCTCATCTATAGGAGACTGGACGCCTGTAAGACTGAAAAGGGAGCTACCTGGTGCAGGGCTGTCAAGCCGTCCACGTTGACCGTGTTGATGTCGGCACCTCTGGCCAGAAGCTTTTTCACCTCGTCGGTGTCCCCGCTAGAGCAAGCGGCCAGGAAAACAGCACCGTCCTCGAAGCGGACCCTAGGGCTCCCGCGACGAGTCTGCGGCTGCCGCCCCGCGCCTCGTCGCTCCGCGGGTTCCTGCTCTGTCAGCGAGCCCCGCCAGCGCCGAAGCTGCTCAGCCCGCCGCATTCGCGCGGACTCTGCCCGCTTCCCGCCCAGGTGCTCTAGCTCCGCCATTGCTCCGGCCTCAGCAGCTGCTGCTGAAACTACCACCCCTGGATTGCTATTGCTGCCCCAGTTGCCGCTGCAGCTTCTCTCGGAGCGCTTCAGCCGGGAGCAGAAGGCGGAGACCCCCGCACCGCCATCTTTACTCCTCCCGCCACTAGCACCGCCCGCACGATCCCTCGGCTTCAACACGCAGGCGCTGCCCGCGCCTCGGGTCATCACGGGACTCGTAGTGAGAGACGGGCCTTAAGGGCAGATCATGGCCTTGAGGGAACTACAAATCCCTGGATGCATCAGGGAAGAGGCGAGGACCGGCTGCTCCCTACTTCGCCGCCGGACCCAGAGGGGTCACCTTTGCCCTAAAGCTGGAACTGTGTCCCCGCCCGGCGTCAGCCTCTTCGAGCATTTCGGGAATTGTAGTTTATTCCTGTTGTGACTGCTGTCTAATCTTGGCTCCCTAATTATCACATCAGTCCTTTGCAGTGGAAAAGAGGCAGTAATTATCCCTATTTTCTATTGGGGAAAACTAGACATAAAGTACTCGAAAAACTCAAATCTACGCCCTGGCTCTAAATCTAAATCTTATTTACATTACAACGTATAATACATAACCGTGTATTAATCACAGTAAATGTAAAGGTGCATGGGGAGGAGGAGCATGGATACATATACTGCGTCCCATATTATACATAAATTCTTTCAACGAGTCACTTATATTTTAGGCCCTAAAAAGTCCAGGAAAGGATGCATCCAACGACAGTGGAAAGAATATAAAAGCTTTCAATTCAAACTGAATTCACATCCCTAAAGAAGTTACTTGATCTCCCTAAGTCTGTTTCCTGATTTGTAAAGTGAGAATAGTAATACCTCACAGAATAGTCCTGTGGATTAAATAATACATGCAAGGCTATCTAGTACTATACTTGGCACAAATCAGCTCACTACTATACTAATTAAATACTAATTTCCCTTCTTTCTTCCTCCTCCTTCTCTACCCTTTTCATGGATCTTAAATTCTTAGGAGACAGAGTGGATGCCTTGTCTTTTGTGATTTTTGCCCCCAAAGTTACAAAAAGACAACAATGGGGCATACTAAACTCCTAAGGCAGAAAGCAGGACATTTTCATATTTACAGTTAACTTGGTTATAAAACCTGTACGATTGATTTAATACCTATACCCCCCAGGGCCATAGCCCTGGACAAATATAGCTAAATGTGCTGTCCATAATGAAAGAGAACATATACAATTATTAGGTTCTGTAAGTTTTCAAATAGTCTTCTGTATGTTTAAAATTTTTCATTAAAAATTATTACAAGAGTGATTAGGGCATTGTAAAGGGAACCTTTATTATATTCCATTGTGAACATTTGTGGGTGCTTCAACTTCCCCTGAAATGAACTGAGAATTAAATGAAAAATGACACGCAAATGCAAAATATGTTTAAGAATACCATGCCTGTCCACAATATGCTTTAATTAGGTATTCTTAAATACTTTATAAATACTAATTTTCTTACTACAGAGTCTTTGTGAACAGTGAATAACAATGTGCAATAAAATAATCCAGATGTGGGGGCACCTGGGTGGCTCAGTTGGTTAAGCGTCTGCCTTCAGCTCAGGTCATGATCCCAGGGTCCTGGGAATGAGCCCCTCCTGCTCAGCGGGGAGTCTGCTTCTCCCTTTCTCCTCCCTTTGCCCCTGCCCCCGCTCCTGCACACTCTCTCTCTCTCTCAAATAAATAAAATCGTTTTTTAAAAAGATTTTGTTTGACACAGAGAGCAAGCGAAACAAAGATTTTGTTTATTTGACACAGAGAGCAAGCGACAGAGCACAAGCAGGGGTAAGGGCAGAGGGAGAGGGAGAAGCAGGTTCCCTGCTCAATCCCAGGACCCTGGGATCATGACCTGAGCCAAAGGCAGACGCTTAACCGACTGAGCCACCCAGGCGCCCCAACATAATGGTTTTCTAATAAGAATTTTTAACTGGGGTAAAATTTTCAGGGATCAATAATGTTACATTTCTTTTGGCTATATTATTTTCACATTCAGAATCAGGGAAGAACTATCTGGCTCCAGTTGTATAAATAAGCTAAAATTGGCCAAGTCCAAGTTAAATCCTTCTATTTGTAAGAGGTAAACTTAAATTTCAACAGGATGAATTCAATCTCAATACTAGGAAGTTCCAGGAAATACCTTCCTTACTATGTCTATTTTATTTGCTTCCCCTCGCCCCCAAGGTTTTTAGAGTATATAATATCCTCTTTGGAGATTGTCCTAAGTTCCTTGGATAATTTAAGTGCATCCCTACCTGGAAGGAGAGGAATTTATCTTCAGCTACATGATTACAAAAAGCAGTAATAATTATTATAATCCAATTAATTTAACTGGCTCAACCAAAAAAAAGTTATGCCACAAAAAATAAAACAAAATTAATCTGTGTATAATGGCTCAAAAAGTTTTTCAAAATTAAAATCATGGAAGTTTTTTTCTTAAACATCTTCCCCCAACCAGGACTTTCTGAGAGTAAACTTATATAATCAGCCCATTAAACAAACGTGATAGTTCAGATTTACTAAATAAATACTCTATACTAAAGAAAATCTTTTATACTCAAGTTGAGTAAATCCTGGCAAATAATCCTGTGTATAAATAAAATATAATTTTTGTGCTTTTAAATGTACTAAGTGAGCCGGCTATGATGCATCTATATTCTTGTGTGAAGAAACTTTTGTTAAATAATTTCCCACACATACACTTAAAAAATAAATCACAATATAAAATGATCCCTTTTTAAAAGCAATGACACGTGTACACAGGTAACGAAAAATTTTCAGCCTGGCCTCTATTCTCACCAGTTAACATACCTCCCTCTGGTGGACAAATGGAAACTGTACATTTAGCCTGTGGAGTTCTTTTTACCTTTTCTCTTTTATTCAATCCTTTCAGTTTAGTTGCCAAAATTATTGGTATTTGCTTGTTTTACGATACCATCTCTCCTTTCCCAGACTCAACACAGTTCCTGCTTTTTCTAGGAGACATTTTTTTTTTTAAGATTTTATTTATTTATTTGACAGAGAGAGACACAGTGAGAGAGGGAACACAAGCAGGGAGAGTGGGGGAGGGAGAAGCAGGCTTCCCACCGAGCAGGGAGCCCGATGTGGAGCTCGATCCCAGGACCCCGGGATCATGACCTGAGCCGAAGGCAGACGCCTAACGACTGAGCCACCCAGGTGCCCCTCTAAGAGACATTTTAAAGACTCGTTTCTCAGAGAACCACCCAAAGAAGTGATCAGTTTCAGTTCTGAAGACAGAATTGTAATTGAAATACAATTACATTTGGGGTAGGAAGAAAATAAAGAAGACATTGAAGGAATTAAAACAAAATATCCATAGTAAAATAAGCAGCCAACTCCAGATTTATGACAGAAAACACTTCTTTACAATGAGTAAATATTAACAATAAATGCAAAACCCCAGCAGCTAACTGGAAATTAGATTGGACAGTCCCAGGATTCCTTACGTTTGTAATTCATAAGCTACTTCAGTTGATTCATTCTTACAACCAGTGTGCGGATCCCCAGGTAGAATCATGGACAGAGTGCTAGTGAATGTGTGGATATCTGGAGGAGAGGTAACATACATGCAGTGGGCTCGGGGAACCAAGTGCTACTTAACACCAATGTGGACTAAATGCAGAAATCACTAGAGTGGCCAAAAGTATATTGGTTTGCAAGTTTAGAAAGACTGGCCATTACTCCTATGCCACCACTGTTCCAAAGCCACACAATGAGCTGAAAGCAGTGAGATGAGGGTTTGGGGTGTGTGTGTGGTGGTGGTGGTGTTTTTCCACCCACAGTATTCCCAAAGGCTAGTCAAGTTCCAGCCGTGTCCTTTAGATTCATTTCAGGTCCGAAGTCAAGGTTGGTTTAGCCATAAACGGGTACTTCCTTCATCAAGTAGTACCACACTTTTAGAGTTGGAAGGCCCCAAAGCCATCTATTCTAAACTTCCACCCACGCAGGGATCCCCTTTGCACTATCCCTAATTAACTTCCCCTTGAACACTTGCAGTGATGAAGGAATTCACTACGTCCCAAGTTTACCTGTTCTGTTTTTCAGGGTTCTGATTGCTAGAATGCTTTACTGGGCTAAATTTTGCAATCCTTTAACTTTCATCCATTAGTCTTAGATGTGTCCTCTGACGCAGTAAAATTCTCCAGGTGAAAAACACTTAAATGAAGAGACGTATCACGCAGTCCCTACTCCAGTTCAAGTATTTCCGGTTCCCTTCATTGTTCCTCCTCTGAGGCGATTTCCAGCTCCTTCCCCGCTCTGACAAAGAAAGCTGACATCGTAACCCGACTTGTCACCTCAGGGCCACACCAAATGATGCAGTCCGCCCAAACCGGCGGGAACCTCCACCCTGATCAGCAGCTCCGCGTACGAGGGGGAGTGACTACGTCTGACGCGCGCTCTAATTTGAAAGCGGCGTGAGCGGAAGCCGGGCTCAGAGCGCTGCCCAATAGGGGGCCGCGCTCCTCCACCGGGCATTGCCGCGGGCCAATCGCAAGCCCCTCGTGGCGGAAGGCGGAGCGACGCCAACCGTCTGGGCGTGCGCAGGCGTGAGTAGCTGCTGGGCCGCGCGTCGCTACGTTGTGAGGTGAGTACGCCCAGGTAAGAGGGTAGTTTTCTGGTTCCCCAGCGGAGAGAGCGCATCCCGGCGGTGGTCCCTGTAGGTGTCAGGGACCAGGAGTCCTGTTTCTGTTTAATGTGGGAGTTTCCTGTCTTCGGAAGGGAGAAGCGGCTGTTGAGCGGAGGCTTTGCCGGGATCTCCGCAGCTCGTCGGCGGCCAGAGCTGCCCGAGCCGCCTGTGCCCCGCAGGGAGAAGTGTGTCCCTGGGAAGGAGACTCCGCTGCCCTGCGCTCGCTGCGGGGCCGCGCACAGGCCGTTTGCCTTCTTCACCATCTGGTCCAAAACCCACGTTTCCAACACTAGTTACAGGGCTGCATACTGGTATCCTAAGGCATTGTCTGTAGGCATTGTTGACTTAAGAATTTTAAAAAAAGAAAGAAATTACGAAGACTACACCCGCCCTCAAGGGATTTTCGCCCCACGAGAAGAAGCTGTCAGAGATGAATAGCAACTCCCGGTGCAGGTTGGTGTGGAAGCACAGAGAGGGTGACAATCGAAAGGAATGAAGGATTGGGGCGCATTACTAGAGAAGGGCGAGAAGTGATCATTTAATGTGTAATATCTGTAGATGTGAAAGAAGATGAGACTCTTAATGGGCAGCAAAAAGAAGTCGGTGTGGCTGAAGCACAAGTTTGTGGGGAGTGGTTACTGGATATGAAGTTGGGGTTTGATTGTAAAGAACCTTTGTGCCCAGAAAAAACGCTTGATGGCTTTTGAGCTAAAGAGTGCCATATACCAATTTGTGTTAATATAGTGAGACTGGGGTCTGGTTGCCTCCATTAGAGAAATTGTCTTGCTTATTCCTCACCCTATTCTAATCCCTTTCCCGTGCCTTTCCCCTGGGTTCTCATTTTACTATAAAGGTAACGCTCTATTTCTTGTGGATTCTTGTCTTATTGTGGTCGCTTTCTCAGCATGTGCTTACTGAGAAAAGTAGTAGGGATCTGTATATAAAACGGGAGGTTAATTATCCAGTGAGATACCTGCCTCCAAAAGATGATGGTCTTAGGGGTGCATCTAAGGAAATTTGGAAGTACTTTCAAGAATAATTTATATGAAAGACTGTTGTAGTGTAATTCTATTTAACAGTTTAATTCACCTGTAATATTATTAATTTCATTTAAATATTTCTGGAAGAGTTTGTGAATTGTGGAGGAGTAGCAAGCCTGGAGATTAGAAAAGGAAGATCCAAAGAACCATTGTGTCTGCAGCACAGTTCAAGAGAATGTCTTTACCTAGCCAATACACAAATTTAGTCTCCTTTAAACATCCCTGTGGTGGAGGTAGATGGCCTCTATTTAAGGGTATGATTATCATAACAACCATCCAATAACTACAATCTGTGCCCACCAGGTAATCTTCTGATTATAATTAGTTTTCCAAATAGAAATAGTGTAAGGAGGGAATGTATGGGATTAAGATTAAAAATTTTATCATAGTTGTACAAATTAATAAATTGACCTTTTAATGTAAAGCCTTTGTGAGTGAGCCTGGAATAAATTAGTACATGTAAGCCCAACTGAATCTAGGTTTACTGCCAAGTTGAGTATTCGGTTTACAAAACTGAGAACCAGATCCTGAGATGTATATACATGTGGACTTTTATGAGGTGATTCTAAAACTCATATGGAAGAGCAGAGGATCAAGAATAACCAAGATATTCCTGAAGAAGAAGAACAATGTGTAGGAACTCAACTTACTATATATCAAGTCTTATTAATAAGCTACAGTAATTAAAACAGTGAGGTATTGGCTCAAAGATAATCCAATTGACCAATGGAACAAATTGAAGAATCTCAAGACAGATCCACACATACATGCAAATTTAGTTTATGAGCATATCAGCGGGGAAAGGAAATACTTTCCAAAAAAAAGGACTAGGACAATAGGTTATTCATATGGAGGAAGAGATCCAAAATTGGACCTCTACCTCACACTATACACAAAAATCAATTCCTACTGGATTAAATGTGAAAGCAAAATTGTAAAACATTTAGAAGATATAGACAAATATCCTAAGTTTGGGGATAAGGAAAAATTTAATACATAAAAGTGTAAGTATACAGGAAAAGGTTTTAAAATTGATTACATTAAAGTTAATAGTTGTGTATCTGTCAAAAGACATGAGTAAAGTGGAAAGACATGCCACAAACTGGAAGATAGTGTATGTAACTCATAATATAAAAAATCGGTATCCTTTGAGTGGCAGCTAAAGGGAGAACTAGAGTTATGAAGGGTGTTGAGTGTGTGTAGGTGTGGGTGTTTGTTTTAGATGAGAGAGATTTTGAGCATATTTGAATGTTGATGGGAAAAAGGTTGGAAATACTGAAGAATTGGGAGGATGTGGAATCCAGAATACATGGAGAAAACTTCACACATTTAAGCTTTCACTTACAAATACTTCAGAGTGAGACTATCTCCATCATATTCATTCCTTGCTCTCCTCACAAAGCATATATAGACTTCCACAGCTAATATTTGTCAAGCCTTTTCTATGCCAGGCATACCGAGGATGCAGTGGAGAGCAAAATTAGACCCAGGGTGTACCTCCTGAATTTATAATTTATCAGTGGAAACAGACATTAATTGAAAACTTGTAGTGTTTTTGTTGTTTGTAGAGCGTTTTGCATTTTTAATCTTTATTTTTAAAATGTGCTTGAATAGTAACAGAAAGGAAATGGAAAAAACTCAGATTCCTTTCTCAGAATAGGGATTAATACGAAGAATTTGTTTTGTTTTTCACTAAACTGAAGCCATGTGCTAAAAACTCACGTCACCATTGCTGACTATTTCATGGTTGTCCCTTTTCTCCCTAGTGAATCCCAGCCAGCTTCTAGTGTGGTGCAGTGAACTGTGTGTGGTTCCTTCTACTTGGGGACCATGCAGAGAGCTTCACGTCTAAAGAGAGAGCTGAACTTGTTAGCCACAGAGCCACCCCCAGGCATCACTTGCTGGCAAGATAAGGACAAAATGGATGATCTGCAAGCTCGTAGGTATCATGTCATGCCTATGATGACCCTAGAAAATTGTGCTGAAATCTGAACATTTGTATATTCTAAAGTAGAGAACAATGGCAAGGTCAAAGTACCTTATCATCTTTCTAAACCTAATTTGTTTACATGTATAAAAGGTTTGCTTGACATTTCTTCTCTGGCCTTTTATTACACCTTTTGCTGATTTATAGCCAAGATTTGGGCGTCAGCTCTGAAGCAGTGTTTAGACCAAAGATCACCATCTCAAGTATCTGTGAGGCCAGACAGGAAACATAAATAATTAGAATCCTGCAGTACAGACAAAACAAATCTGGAGCTTATATTTGATCTGTGGTCAGTATTGTCCAACTTCTGTTTTGATCTTCTGTCTGTCCTTTGTTTGACACCAACAATTTTTTGGGTACATTGGTGCATTGCATGAGAAGCTTGTTAAAGCCCTAAGAGGAGAGAATTACTGTCCTAGACCCAGCTTTCCTTTAGGACCAATCCTTTATTAGGACTGTATGGTGTGGTCATTCAGATCATCTGATTACCTCTTAATTTTTCTTTTTTTTTTTTTAAGAAATATTAGGTGCGGCTGACACACCTTATGAGAAAGGTGTTTTCAAGTTGGAAGTTAGCATTCCCGAGAGGTTAGTGTGAATTAGATTTCTTTTTTTTTTTTTTTTTGAGAGAGAGAGAGCACATGCAGAGTGGGGTAAGGGCAGAGGGAGAGAGAGAGAATTTTAAGCAGGCTCCACACCCAACACGGGGCTGGGTCTCATGACCTTGAGATCATGACCTGAGCCAAACTCAAGAGTTGGACGCTTAACTGACTGAGCCACCCAGGCGCCCAGTGTGAATTAGATTCTAAACTTACAGGGTAAAGGACGGTTATTGGAAGATAGAGTCATGTAGTAGAGTGTTAAATGTAGGAGTTAAAGGTCCTAGGTTTTAATCCTAGTCTTATCATGATGTAATGTGACCGTGGGCAAGTTATTTTATCTCTCTGGAGTTCAAATTCCTTCTCTAAAAATGGGCTAGATCACATCTAAGGCCCCTCTTTTCTTCATGGTGTTAAAATATACATAACATAAAATTGATCATTTAAGCCATCTTTAAGTGTTTGGTTCAGTGGCATTAAGTATATTCACGTTGTCATGCACCTGTCACCATAATCCATCTCCAAAGCGTTTTCATTTTCCCAGACTGAAACTCCATACCCGTTCAGCAGTAACTTGCCAGCTCCCCTGTCCCCCAGCACCTGGCAACCACCATTCTCCTTTCTGTCTTTATGTTAAGGCCCCTCCTAATTCAGGTCTCCTTTAAGGTTCTCATCAAGTGAGTTGTAGTTGTCGTTTTGTGCAGAATGGGGAAGGGAAGAAATGAATGTCTGACTGTTGATATGTAGATGTCTTTTCACTAGATCAGATCCTGGCCAAACTTGTTAAAGTTCTGAGAGAAGTAGCTTGATAATCATGTGATACATCAGTTCTGAAAATAGGCTGGGAATTTTCCGAGGTTTGTGTCTCACTAAAAAGGCATAGTAACCAAATGCAGTGGGGGCACCTGGGTGGCTCAGTTAAGTGTCTGACTCTTGATTTCGGCTCAGGTCATGGTCCCAGGGTTGTGGGATTGAGCCCTGTGTTGGGCCTCTGTGCTCAGTGGGGAGCCTGCTTGAGATTGCCCCTATCCCTCAACCCCTCCCCCGCCCACACACATGCGCGTGCTTGCCATCATGCTCGCTCTCTCAAATGAATAAATAAATCTTTAAAAAAACATGCAATACATAAATCTTAATTTGATCCTGTTTTTCAAAACCTGTCTGTACAAAAGGGGGGGGCAATTGAGGAAACCTGAAGAGTAGCTGATATTGGGGGATACATTTTTAATTTTGTCACAGGTACACCGATAGTCCTGCAGTTATATAGGAGAATGGCCTTGTTCTTGGGAGATACGTGCTCAAGTATTTACAGGATGGAGTGGTTTGACCTAGGTGGTGGGTACATGAGTGTTTTTAATGCTATTAGTTCAACTTTTCTATTGTTTGTAAGTTTTCATAATAAAAATTTGAGGAGAAAAAAGGTTTGCCTCTCAAAGGCTGTCTTCCTAATTAGTCACCAGGAAGCCTTTATTATTATATGTTTATAATGAAACAATACGTTCATAAAAATTCTCTATTATCCTATGTTTTCAAAGGTACCCCTTTGAGCCTCCTCAGATCCGATTTCTGACTCCGATCTATCATCCAAACATTGATTCTGCTGGAAGGATTTGTTTAGATGTTCTCAAATTGCCACCAAAAGTGAGTGGTGGGTAAAGGGTGGACACAGCAGTCTGTGATTCTCATCTATACAACTTGAATTAGAGTATCACATTCTTAGTAATACAAAAGCAGCTGCCTGTCTTCTGTATATAGGGCGCCTGGAGACCATCCCTCAACATTGCAACTGTACTGACTTCTATTCAGCTGCTCATGTCCGAACCCAACCCTGATGACCCCCTCATGGCCGACATAGTAAGTATCCTCTTGTCCTCTGCAGCACATGTCCTACTTTCTTCATACCTCTGACTTTTCATTTATGAGGATAGCTGTGGCAGCTGCAGCTTAACCACTACAAATCATTTTTCTCTCCACTCTTCTTTGATTTTGTCTCAGTCCTCCGAATTTAAATATAATAAGCCAGTCTTCCTCAAGAATGCCAGGCAGTGGACAGAGAAGCATGCAAAACAGAAACAGAAGGTATGATGATTGTACAGTTGTGATTTTGCTACTGTTGTTAATCCATTAAAAGTGTATTTATCTGTAAATGCGTAAATGGTTATTAACTTTGCCAAATTTGTAACGTACTCTAGAGTAGCTAACTGATTTTTTCTCCTATTACAACTTTCTAAATAGTTATTCAACAAAATAGCCTAGTAGCTCAACCAACAGTATATTTTTCCTAACAGTTGTCATCTTTGACAACACTAGAGGGCAGGCAGCATCTGCTTAATGTTTTTTTATATTCTTGGGGTAGCATGGATAGATGAGAGGTGACTCTGATTCTTTTTTTGAGGTTTTCTTTTTTAACACTGAGAAGGGATTATTGCAGGAATCAGGAAGGAGTGAGAGAGGTATAGGAGAGAGGGGAAAATGAACATTTCTTATGGGACCATTCATAGAAGGGAGAAGGAAAATTTCCCCAATTTAAGTTGATAGAGCTTCCTCATTTAACAATACAAATTATAGGAACACAAAGATTTGCATATTCTGGTTCTTGCTGAGTTATAACATCCTTCAGATTGAGTTAAGTAGCAGTTACTTATGAAAAGAAATAAAAATTTAAAACATACAAAAGATTGAAGAAGATGCTTTTGAAGGGAATATCATATACAAGAGGCAACAAAGAAGTACTTGGAAATAATATTACAGCACTTCATTTGTTCTCCATCCTGGTTCATAGTGTGAACCTTACATTTTACCGTATCTGCTCCTTTTTAGGCTGATGAGGAAGAGATGCCTGATGATCTGCCAGAGGCTGGTGACTCAGAAGTATGCAACACAACACAGAAAAGGAAAGCCAGGCAGCTGGGAGGCATAGAAAAGAAATTTTGCTCTGATGCTTAGGGGTTTGTCCTGGTCATAGTTAATATATTTTTTGTTAAGATGTTCTAATTTGCCTACCTCTCTTGGATGTTTTTCTTTGTATTTGATGACATTATCATCTTTCATGTCCTATAAAACAGACCTTGTGTATTTACGTATTCTGCTTTACACTGATTCTGAGGCTAGTTTGTTTTATTTAGCTTGTACATATGTAGTTTGAAACCTTTTAAACCTGAAAAATAAATAACCACTTAATGTTGAGTATGTGTTTATCCTGAATGTGTGTCTGGGAGCAAACTGTCCAGAAAGCTATATAATAAGAATGTTAAAATATTTGGAATTGTTGTCTCTTATTTTGCCAACTTACCAACATCACTAGGGACGCTGAACGTTTGACGTAGATGTAAAATGACTATTGGAAACAATTCAGTTACCACCAGGCTTTCAAGGATTCTAGGTTTTCAGGAGTCTTAACAGAATGTGGGAATGAGGTAATGGACCCTTTTGTTAATTTTTTTGCAGTTTTTACTTTTTGTGATTTACATAGCTGGTCAGAATTAACCACGGTAATAAATACTTATTGAACACCTGCTGTGTACCAAGTGTTGTGCTCGTGTTTTAGAATGGTGAAAAAAAAATCACATATGAGATTAACCAAATAATCATACAAATTTAAATAAGGATTTTTGTAATCACTTTCTGTCCCTAACTTCATTTCATGGCAAGCACTACTCTGAACAGATAGGCGCCAAACTTGAATCCCCTACTCACGATTTTATAATCTACTTAGACTTTATTATTCTATTGAGATGACAGAGAAAATGGATTTGAGCAGAAATCAGCTGAAGTGGAAAGAGGCTGCCCATGCTGAGTGAAAGACTTTCTGAAGAACGTAGGTATTAAGAGTCCGAGGTAGAAAAATAAAGACTGTAATATCCCTGTCCATTACCCAGTGTAGCAGTTTTATCCCAGGGCAGTGGTTTTATACCTCGGCTAGGCACCGTGCACGTAAAACAGCGCATGTCTGAATAGGCAATGTCTGCTCATCCACCTATGAGTTACCTTGTATCCTCACTCAGCACAGCCTGCCACAGATCATGTGTGGTACTGAACTCAAGGCAAACAAGACGAGAAGTGTGAATTTATATAATCCGTAATGACAGATGATGGCATAAACTGAAAATATAAATTTCTTCTGTATCTCCCACTTCATCAACTTCCAACTTCTCTAGAATTCTTGAACCATTTCTCAAAATTAGTTCTCTTTTTAAAGCCCAGAAATGATTTTATTGCAGGCTTTTCTCCTAAATTCATGCATATAAGCCAGATTTGGGGTTCCTAGATAACATTAGTATATCAGGTGGGATGCTTTCAGCTGTGAGTGAAATCCAACTCGGACTGGTGACAATACAACACGGGCAGTTCTAATGGAATAAATGGAAAGTCCAGGGGTGGGGTGAGCATCTGAATTGGTGTGTTCAGAGGCTCAATAACACCAAGATTTCAGTCTCTTTCCACCTGCCATCCAGAGTAACAACTTGTCTTGGTTGTCTGCTCCTTAAACATACTCCCCTTTCAGAGTGACTCCTAGCAGCAGTCAGGGCTATGTACTTTCTAATTCACACCCAGCAGGCCATGGAGTGAAAGTTCCTATGATTGGACCACCCTGAAGCCAGTCGCTGTGGTCAGGGAAATGCCATGTGCTGATCAGGGTGAAGCCAGAAGTGAAGTGTGAGGGACTTAGGGAATAGTTGTAGGAAAGGAGCCCCTCCTATGGGACAAAACCCCTACATAAGTGATCGATCACCAGGTCTGGTCAGTTCTACCAGCCACTTCTCCCTCCCTCTTCTTTTTTTTTTTTTTTTTTAAGATTTATTTATTCATTTGAGAGAGC